CCTTCTTTTCGTCGTTGCAGCTCACAGAGACGTCGTACGAGTCTTCGTCAGACTTTTCCCTGGAGGAGTATGAGCTTTTACGTCAAGTTAGGTATGAGCAGGCCCATGATGGAGCAGCTTGGGGGGTCTGTCCTTTGGTTACTACAATTCTCTTCAATATAGCCGTCGACAGCAACACAAACGCTTCCTTTCGTCTCCACAGGCGGAGCTATTCGACTATCGTGAGAAAACTGAAGCGGATGGAAGATTCAGAAGATACAAATGCATATCGATCAGGAAAAGTTGACTCAAAGAGGGTCTCGTTGTTCTGTTTTGAATCCGGTCGCCAAATAACCACTACGGACAACACTAGTGAGCAAAAACTTATGAATGATCTCTTCGAGGCATTACGAAGCACGAAGCTAATCAAAAACAGAGTACTCGTCTTCGTCCGAGTATACGACTTTGCGAGCCGAGTATGTGACGGTATCTTCCCAAAAGCTGAGGAATCGCTTAGGAGAAAATGGGCCGCAATAAAAAACGCTAAAAACAATGGCCGAGAGCTGAAGATTAAGCCACAACGTCCAACTAGTAACCCTGTTAGCTCGCAAGTGCTTCCCGTTATTGAACTGGAGAAGAAGAGTGCAAATAGCAGCTTCGTGTCTCTGCTATCCTCGTACTCAAGCTGCTCGCTGCTCTCTGAGTCTGAAAACGGAGCTGGAAATGCTGAAACAGTCGAGTCATCACCACCAACATCAATCGTGACTTCGAATACGACTGCATTAAGTGACGATGCTACCAGACGTGACAAAAATCCTGGAAATTCTACCCTCAGCTTACAAGTATATCAACACCAACCAGGTTTGGCAAGTACTGAGCCCATTTGCAGTGATACCAGTAGAGAGATTCAACTATCTCCAGTTTTTACTCTCCCAGAATTGCTCAAATCATCATCCTCGGGTGCAAAAGCAGCTCCAACTACTTTTCAGAATGTGGCCATTTGTGAATCTACAACCGAAAAGCCATCCATGAGCGATACACCTCGTGCTTCCCAAATTCCAACTCGAAGACATACCAACATTACTCCCGAAGACCTTATTTACTTCAGAAATCTGGCAGCAACAATGCCAAGAGCACCAGACAAGTGGACAGAGATGCTACAATTATTTCGCGAGAAGTATCCAGACAGCGATATTAATGCTAACTCATTGAGGTGTCGACTGAAAGTAAAAAAGGACCGGTCTCGAAAGCGTGTTCGTGCTGAAGATGGTAATCCTACCAGTAGCCTCGTTCCGGTTGCAGTTGCTTTACCGAAGTCAACAAAAGTGACAGCTTGTGAAAGCTGTCGGAAAAAAGGAAGCGATGTGGTGATGCAACTCAAAACGACAAGTGTGAGCGCTTACAGAAGACATGACACGAAGTAGATGTGGGAAGAAAGTCAGAAACGTCCCTTGTGTCCAACAAAATAACGTTGCTTACCAAGCTAGAACCGATAATCTCCATGGGAGCCGTATTCCTTCTACGTATATATCCACAGGCTGTTTTCGACTCACCTATTTCCTGGAACGAAT